ATGCCATCTCACTAGTCCCAGTGATCAATTTCTGTTCACAATTGATCATAATGATAGGACTAAGAGTCAAAGGGATCACATAAACAAGACTAGTGTCTGCAAATACTAACTGCTAGAATAAAAAAGGGAGAGAGTGATCCAACATGGGAAGTGAGATACACAGCAGACCCATAGAATGGTGGATGGCCTAAACAGCACTCTGGCCTCAGAATCAGCCCTTAAGGCATGCAGATCTGGCTGAAAAGCCCATGAGAGTATTTCAGGCATGGAAAGACAAGACACTCTGGCAAAAAAAAATGACCTAAATGAAAGATCTCTGCGAGTGAGATCCCAGTGGAAAGAACAGGTCATCAAAGAAGGAGGTACCTTTCTCTGAAGGGAGGAGAGAACTTCCACTTTGACCATGGCCTTGTCTAAATATGATCAGAGTCGGTGAACTCAAAAGGCTTCCATAGCCTTGGCAACTCATGACAAGAGCCTAGGGTGATTACTGACGCCATAAACAAGAGTGTCAATTTGTAAAGTGAACAACAGGAGTCACTGTGCACTTACTCCTCATGCAGGATCTCTGTCCTTAATGTTCTTACATTGTGATTTAATGCTATAGCTAGTACTCAAACAGTATTGTTCACTTTGTGTTTCTATGTGGGTGCAAACTGTTGAAATCTTTACTTAATATATACTAAAGTGATCTTCTGTATATAAAGAGAATTGGAAATGAATCTTGATGTGAACGGAAGGGGGAGGGAGTGGGAGAGGGGAGGGTGGGAGGGAAGTTATTGGGGCGGAAAAACCATTGTAATCCATAAGCTGTACTTTGGAAATTTATATTCATTAAATAAAAGTTAAAAAATAGGCATAATAAAAATTAACAGCAATAGCTATAGTACAGAACAATTGTAAAATATAGTATAATAGAAGTTGTTTAAAATAGTTCTAGAGTTTTCCACCTCATATTTTGGTGGTGCAGTTTACCATGGGTAACTGAAACTGCAAAAGGCAGCACTGTGAGTGAGAGAAAACTACCATGATGGATGTGTCTGGATGAGACATTTTCAGTGTGTATGGCTTGTAAAGTCCTGCTGGGTACAGTAATTTGTATGGTTTCATCAATTGCCAAGCAATAGAATTATGGTTATGTATACTAATACTAAAGGTCGGATTGACTGTGTTGTTACAACCCTGAGCCTCTTGTCATATAGGCACAGTCTTCATCACTTGTTGTTTACATGGTGTATCTATGCTCAAAAAACTCAGAAAGTATTGAGCTGGAACATGGCCTATTAGTGCTCTACTGGAGGCAAGGAAACAAAACCCAATAGAATAACTAGGAAAAATTATACTGAAATGACAAACCCAGCCAGCTCAGATGCATAGTCTTCATCCTCAAATCTCTGTTTGCTTTGGATATCAGAAATGATTTATTTTCAATCACCTAAGAGGCCTTAAAACATTCTTGAATGGTCTAGTACAAGCAACAAAGCTTGGGGAGCCTGGAAAATTGAATCTCAGCTTGGCTACCTTCAGGATGACCTTTAGTAAACTACTTTAATGTCTTACTTGTTCGACAGGGATAAAATGTTTATTTATTCTACTAATAATCATGGAGTTCCTACCTTGTGCCCTGTACTAATAAGGGTTAAGGACCAGTGGGGCTTTCTGCCCTCAATAAGCTTTTCATTACAGTGAGGGAAGGCAGAAATAAACAGATAAATATAAGAAATGTTAGGAGGGGGTAACCATATGGGGAAAAACACAGCAGAATAATCAAGTAGAAAATGAGGAGGAGAATTTTTATGGAGTGAATAGGGAAGGCCTGTGCGATAAGGTAACATCTGGACAGTCATCTGAGGGAAGGAGGGACGCGTGTGGCTATCTGAAAAGGAGCTTTCCAAAAAGGAGGACTCACTTGAGCAAACACCTCCCTTCTGCAGTGGAACACTCTCAGGGAGGACGGTGCGAGCCGAGGGGGTATGCAGTCGATGAGGTCAAGGAGGATCAGGAGGTGAAAAGTGTGGGATCAGATCCTGCAGGGCCTTTTAAGGCATGGGAATCCATACCAAAGTCAGGAGCAGAATAATAACATGAACTGAATTATTTCTAAAGAATCACTACTGGGGCAGGTGGTGATGTAGAAGTTGAGATGTCACTCGAGACACTCGCATCCCACATCGGAGTGTCTGGATTTGAGCCCCAGCCCTGCTTCCAAATCTAGTGTCATGTTATTGTGCACTCAGAAAGGCAGCAGTTGATGGCTTAAGTACTCAAGTCTCTGACACCACATGGGAGACCTGGATTGAGTCAGTTCCTGGATCCTGGCTTCAGCCTGGCCCAGCCCTGACCATTGCAGAAATTTTAAGGAGTAAAGAGTCAAGGGAGTTTCTCTCTCTCTCTCTCTTTCTCTCTTTCTCTCTTTCTCTCTTTCTCTCTCTTTCTCTCTTTCCCCTCCCCCCCTCTCTTCCCAGTCCCCACTCCCACCCTCTCAAATAAATACTATGAAAAGAATCACTATTGTTAGGGGAAGAATAAATCTGGAGACTATTGGGGAGAGAGGGCAGCCACTTGGGAAGCTATGATAATGGATTGGATGAAAGATACTGGGGTGGAGGGGCTGAGCAGGGTGTTGGATTCAGAGTAAGTCTTGAAGAACAAGGCAACAAGGTTGCCGTTGTACAGTGAGAGAAGAAGTAAAGGGTGATCCCAAAGTTTTGGCCTGAGCAGCAGGAAGAATGGAAATACCATTACTGAAAAGAGGAAGTCAGGGGGAAGGGCTACCCAGTTACTGTAGGCTGTTATGAGATAATAAATCAGTGCAATAAAAAGAAAATGGAAATGAAGCTAGCACGATTCTTGGTCCACAGGAGGTGGCCAATTGATCTTAATCCCTTCGCTATGCCTTGTAACACTTCTTTGTTATTTATTCTTTGGATTTATTCACTACCCACACACAGCTGCCCTTTTATCCAAGATTAAGCTAAAATGGTCCCCCAGAGCAGTGTGGCTAGCTAGCCATCACCCAGAAACCCCAGCAGACTACAGTCTCACAAGAACAGGTAAATTACATTCTTAAATAAAGAGAAACACTTGATACCAAAACAATCTATATTACAATACTTCCAGTGCCTCAAAGTACTGAAGGTGCTTCAACATCCTAAAACTTTCCCTGCTTGTCATTGTTTTTATAACAATAATTCTGTGAAGAGTGAAAAATAGTATTTTGTAATCACTTTTTTTCTTAGAATTTTTGAAGAAATGCTAAGGAACTAAAAAGTTATCCAAAAATCTGTCAAAAATTTCACCGAATGTGTATTTCTTGGCAAAGTTTCCTACTTGTTTTTATCCTTTTATTTAAAATTTATAGTGTTATATTAAAATGAAATAAGTTCTGTAAATGTTTATGTACTTGTATTATGTAGATATGTCTTAGTGATATTTTATCCAGTGCCAACCTGAAATACAACCACGTGAAAATAGAGGCATATAGTCTACATATAAAAAAGATAAGCTCAAGTCTAAAATTTTTTATTGCAGATTCATTTGAAATGTCAGTATTCAGTTCACATATCTCTATACTCTTAAGAATCATCAGCATTTAATTTATGAGTGTTTTTAGTTGGAAAGAGACTGCTGCTTAAAATTCAATTCAATCCCCTTGATCTGAGTTGAGAAATACTTATATTGTGCACTTTTCCCAAAGCCCTCCATTATGCCCAATTTCCCATAATTAATCTAATCTTTAAAACCAAAGTAGACTGTAGCTTCCACCACTTTTCCACCCTTACCCAGAGACAATAACACAGAATAAAACAGAGCCCAGGGACAAATAATGCATTTGCCCCATGGATGCTATTCCTGTACCCACAGAGAGCATCTAGTGTTATTTGTGACTTTATGGAGCTTTTAGAGCTGGGAACAGTGTGGTTTCAGAAATAAATCCTGTAGCAGGACAAGGAGCAGCCAATAGCCCACTGTTGGTAGGAAGAACACAAGAGCAGAGCCGCTTCCCTTCCAGGAGTGTGTGTCTTGGGTATGCTGCAGAAAGACCAAACACCAAGCTTTGCAAAGGAGGCATGGGAGCAAACAAGGACTTCCCTTTCTCGTTGGCAAAGGGGACCATTGGCAGGAGCAACAAAACCCTTGTAGATGGCCTGGATGTGTGAATCATGACACTTAGTGCTAAGTGGTGGTATGACAACTTAGTACTAAGCCGGTTCAGGCTCTCCAAGGTACATAGGAGGAAGCAAATGTGGTGAGCAAATATGCCAATATTTAGTATAACACGCAGCAAAGTCATTGACACTAGCTGTAGGAAACCCAGAGTTGACCATACAGTGTTTTGTTCATATGTTTCCAAGTCTGGTTGGCACGGCGGCTCAATAGGCTAATCCTCCGCCTGCGGCGCTGGCACACCAGGTTCTAGTCCCAGTCGGGGCGCTGGATTCTGTCCCGGTTGCCCCTCTTCCAGGCCAGCTCTCTGCTGTGGCCGGGGAGTGCAGTGGAGGATGGCCCAAGTCCTTGAGCCCTGCACCCCATGGGAGACCAGAAGAGGCACGTGGCTGCTGCCTTCAGATCAGCGCGGTGCGCTGGCCACAGTGGCCATTGCAGGGTGAATCAACAGCAAAGGAAGACCTTTCTCTCTGTCTCTCACTGTCTACTCTGCCTGTCAAAAAATAAATAAATAAATAAAAAGAAATAAAAAAAGAAATAAGCATATGTTTCCAAGTACAACTTTCCTAACCCAGCACCAGGGAATGGTTTCTATCCAGGAAGAATCTACTCATTTTCTCAAGAACCTACTTCTGCTTTTCTTTATGTTTAGCCCTGAGATCCCTGTTTAAAGGAAGTAGCAAGATTTAGCCAGGTGTCCTTATAATAATTACCAGCAGTTTTAATTCTACTGATACCAAGTCTGTTTTCCAATGGGGAGAGCCATAGAGCCATAGCCTTTGACATCCATGAGAAAGGGAACTGGTTTTAACTGCCCTGTTTTTGAATTTCAGGGATAGTCGCTGTTCTCTTCTGCGGAGTCACACAGGCTCATTATACCTATAACAATCTGTCGTCGGATTCCAAGATGAGGACTAAACAGGTAAAAGCTCTCTTTTCTCGGTGTTATGGCTATGTAGTGATTCTGGCAGTGTACTTGGAAAGAATCTCTTTCATAAAGGGAGAAAGTAAGCTTAAGGCTTCATTATGGGTTGGATATTTATAGATTTTTTTTCCCTCCAGGATAACCATTAAAAATTCTCTTGGTAAGCAAAAATATAGTTATAACAGTCCCTCCTGAGAGATGTGGACCGTGGACTGTCAGTCTTGAAGATGAAAGGCCTACTGTCAGTAACAATTCACCGTCACTTACATCTAAAAGCATTATAAAGCATGTAAGATGGGGTAGTTATAGAGAGAGGAGGAAATGAGGAGGAGTCAGGAAGTGATGTTTGGTCTTTAATTGGGTACTTTTGCTTCCAAGCAAACTCAACTGCCAGTTGTTACCCAAGCAGAAAGCTTCCCCCTTATACCAAGAACACATTTGCTTGGATATTTTCCCATGAACACACACACACACACACACATACACATATATATATATATATTCCTCCCATAAACACTTGCTCTGCAGCAACTCAGGGCCAAGCACTGTGCAAGGTACCAAGAATACAAAGACAGGTTGCATATGACCCAACCTTTGAGAGTTCATTGATGAGAAGATAGATGTGTAGTTGTGTAATGAACCACAGTCACAGTGTGTTAGTACTGTAGTGCAAATATCTGAGCAGAGTATGTGGGAGCATTTAGTGGAGCGGTGTTTCAGATTTTGGATTGGGGAGGTCAAGAGAATGTTTCCAGAGATGATGTCCAATCTGGAGGATGAACTGCAAGTGGAAGTTAACTAGGTGAAGATTTGGGTCTAGTGGGCGATGGAAGACGGCAGAAAATGCATTTGGAGGTCAAGGGATCAACACTGACCAAGTCTCTTCAGTGGTTGACTGAAGCTCTGTAAATAGTTCAGTGTGGCTAGTGGAGGGGGTAAGCACATGGGCTACAGTGAGGGAAGAAAGCGCAGGACCATGCATAACAGCCGTGGACCAACTTAGGAAGGACGTATGTACCTGGTGGAGAAATTTAGACTTTATCCTAAAGGTAATGAAGAAATGTATTGTCTCCCAGTTCTGGAAGCCAGAAGTCTAAGATCAGCTTATTGGCAGGATCAATTCCTTCTAAGGGCTGCGAGGGATAATCTGTTCTATTTTACTCTCAGATTTCTGCCAATTTGTGGTGTTCTTTGGATTGCACACATATCATCCTGATCTCTGCTTTCATGTTCCCACATGCTCACTTCTTGTGTGGCCATCTCCAAATGCTCCCCTTTTTAATAAGACACCAGCCATGTTAGGTTAGGGGCCCACCCCACTCCACTATGATTTCATCTTAACTAATTACATTAGGAATAACTCCATTTCCCAAAAAAAGTCACATTCTGAGGTACTAAGGGTTAGGACTTCAAAATATAAATTGGAGAGATGGGGTGGAGGACACAATTTGGCTCATTACAAGAAATTATTGAGGGGTCTTAGAAGTGCTGTTTTAGAAATATCACTCCAGTAGCCATGGAATCATGGAGAGAATGGCATTTGTATCAGTTAGCTTTTGCTGTATAATAAAGAATCACACAATTACAATGGAACCCAACAGTACGTACTTACATATCATATACCTGCAAGGTCAAGCACTTTTGAGCTGAGTATAACTGATCTCATTCAAGTGTCTGTGTGTTTACTGTGGGCTTTATTCTAGGGTAGGCTTGGCTGGGGCGCCTTTACCAATACCATGTGTCTGTCCTTATTCCCCTAACAGAAGAACAAGCCTTTGCTTGTATCACATATCGTAAATATCTAAATCTATGACTCAGTCCCAAAGCTTAGAGGCTAGTTAAGCCCGTGACCCACTATGGGAGAGCACTGCAAAGTCATAGGGCAAGGAAGCGTGGATATAGGGAATGATGAATTGTACTGGATGCTGAAAGTTATCCCAAAATGTGAATGCAGGTAGAGAGGCTCCTATAATATGTCCAACAGTGCTGAGAACATGTGATGTGATATTCGGGCAGTGGGGTAGAGAAAGCGAAAGTGACACCAGAGCAAAACCTGGACACAGCCAAAAATTCTTAGCTAGGAGCTCTTGAAGGCTGGCTTTAAAGCTTTCTAAAGTAGCTATTGCTTTCATCCCTCTCTTTGTCATGCGCCAAGTTCAGCTGGCTCTGACCCTACCTCCATCTGCCCAGACACTCTGCACAATCACCCTTCCCCTCTGCCCATCACGTCAGATGGCTTCAGAGAATCACAAAAAGCAACTACAGAAACTTTAAACCCCATTGAATAAAACAAAAACAAACCCTAAAAACTGATGCCGCAAGGCTGACGCTGTGGCATAGCAGGTAATGCCGCCACCTACAGTGCCAGCATCCCATATGGGCACCAGTTCAAGTCCCAGCTGTTCCACTTCTGATCCAGCTCTCTGCTATGACCTGGGAAAGCAGTAGAAGATGGCCCAAGTCCTTGGGCCCCTGCACCCACCTGGGAGACCCAGAAGAAGCTCCTGGCTCCTGGCTTCAGATCAGTGCAGCATCAGCTGTTGCAGCCATTTGGGGAGTGAACCAGTGGATGGAAGACCTCTCTCTTTCTCTTTCTCTCTCTCTTTCTCTTTCTCTCTCTCTTTCTCTCTCTGTCTGTCTCTCTTCTCTCTCTGTGTAACGCTAAATTTCAAGTAAATAGATAAATATTTTAAAAAAAAACTGATGCCAATACCCAGAAATCTCTAATATAGAATCTTCTAGGATCCTTTTAATTACAGAGACAACTAGTATTCTCCAGGGCTTACAGGGAACTGTCTTGGGCTGCTTTTTCCTGGCCTCTTTTGGTTTTCTGAGCATTTGTATTCTGGGAAGCTGAACCCTGTTTAGGGACTTGGACTTTTAAGTCATGCTCTCTAGACTGCTCTGCAGAACTTCAAAGACAACTCATCTCATGGTGAGACAGCAGCCAGCACCTAGGGGAGACAAACCAAAATCAGTGCCCCACAGCCTTCTGTTCTCCCTCTGAATGGCTTGACAAGAACTCTCTGATGGGCTGCCAGGATCCATCGGATAGCACTATCCTTTAAGGGAGCATATTTTTACATGTTCCTTCTTCAATGCCTACCCCATTCCCTGTTTGCCCTACAGGCTTCTTTCCTGGGCACCTGGAACGTGGTAACTCGGAGAATAATGAAGGATAACTCTTTCCTCATTGCTGTTCTGACTCAGATCTGTATGTTTCTTATTTCTTTGTCCTCTCATATGCATATATAGCAGTATACATATTTATACATACATGCATATCTGTACATATATCTACATATATAGTGCATTCTCCATAATATAGAAGCTAAGGTCAGCACTTTGAAATAAATAGAGAAGAGACCCTTGGTCACATCTACACCAGTGTGGCAAGCAGAGTTCAAACGGCACATGGGAAACCAACTACAAATTGTAGAGAAATGCTGAGGCATAGAACATAGAGACTGCTACTATGCACTTTCTCAAACTAGGAAAGGCTTGGAAAACATCCCATGGCTGCCAGACACAGTATCTACCTGTGCATCTTCCTACATTGGGTTCATGCTGTCTACAGGAGAATCTGCAATTATACAATCTCTTTGCCTCTCTTCCCATGACGAGCTATGAAGTCAATTAGTGAAGTCTAGGGAAAATCTTTGTAAGTGAACTTTGTGTTGTAAAATACAAGTGATATAATTTACAGAGGGATTTTATTCATCAAATGTGTCTCACACCAGCTAATCAACTATGTCTATCTGGATCTAAAACCTATTGATAATTATATATCCTTTATAGCTTCAAGAATTATAGAGTGCCTCCTTAAAAGTGCATTTTTACTTGAAAATACATTTTGCAAATTATCAGGACCCTCTAGATGTAGATGAATTAATTTTTGCTCCAACATATTAAAAAAAAACTATGTGTGAGGTAAAAAAGCAGCATAATAGAGATGCTGTGATACTATTACCCACAACAAAGATTTAAATCTGAAACAGCAAAGCATTCTGCCAAACAGCAGATGAACACATGTGGCAGTCCGTTTCCCCAGTGTGCAGTGGTTCATTGCTTTCGGATGTGCACTTCTAGTCCTAGAGATGGACAGACCTGCAAGCCCTGCCCTCCTGCCCAGACTTACTTTAAGCATTGCAGGGATACTCAGGAAGGACATGGGCACCCAGTGTTCGCACCCAAGACATCCAGAGCACAATACACAGACCCTATGAGCCCACTCACACAAGTCCCAGCCTACCTTCCACCCCCTTCTTCCCTCATCTCCTCACCCTTAGGCAGGCTTGAGTGCAGCCCATCAGAACCAAATTCCAGGCGTTTCCATTAGCTGTCTACTTTGCCTGAAGCTGACTTGTGAAACCGTGTGCTTCCATACCTTCCCTTCTAACTAGAATTTCTCTTTCCCTTCCCATAGTTCCCACTTAAAAATTATTTCTAACCGATACCTATGGGCATATTATATAAATGCAAATAGCCTACCTTTATTGTGCATTAACATGCACTAAGTACTTATCTCATTTACTTTCTATGTACTTAAAAGATAGCTCTTATTATCACTAATTACTTTCATTCATTGAACTAATATTTTTTGAGAGCCTAGTCTGTGACAGCCACTGTTCAAAGTGCTGGGGATGTAACAGTGAGTAAAAATATCCTCAGTAGAAGACCTTTATGATAATCAAAATAAATTAGCAAAATATATGGTGTGCTTGTGATAAGCCATTAAGCCAATAATAAGGCAAGGAAGGAAGCTAGAAGTGTACATAAGGCAGCCTTGCAATTTAAGCTCAGGTGGCCATGGAAGGTCCCAGTGAGAGGATGATGTCTAAGGAAATAGAACAGGGAATCATGTAGACATCTGGGGCAGAGCTTCCAAGAAACTGGCAGTGACAAATGTAAAGGTCCCCCTAGCATGGGGACAGATGTGGCTGGGGCAGAATGAACTAGGGGAGAGAATGAGAGGCAAAAAACCAGAGCAGTGGCAA